ATAAAAAAAAAAAAAAATGTTATCCCCAAAGTGGGTGGTTTGGGTCCACCCAGAAGTACCTTCAATCTGGTGAACTACTTCCCCTAATCCATCACTGACCATCCTATAGACCACAGTTTTATTCTGATGCTCAGGATGCTGCCATGAGTTGGAGGTGATTGGATGGCATCCAGCTACCGGGATGGCTGCCCCTCTTCCCTTCATTCTTGAAGATGTGGTTCTTATCACATTCCTGAAAAATTGTTAGATAGCAGCGGTTCATTCTGTGGCTGTAACAAAGGGCTCAAAGTGACCAGCAATTGTGAGGCTGGTGCAGAATCTGGTAGTGTTGCCTTCCATGTGCGTCACGTCACTATGAGATGGCGCCAACTCCACGGCACCGAACAATCCTGGCAATAAAGTCTGACCCTAGCTGGTGTCCTTTCAGAAAGCTTGCCACCAATGGCTGAGAGTCATGTGGCCCGATGTTCAACTGCCTCATTAGCCCTTTAAAAATGTTGATTGTGGAAGAGAGGGGTTGAGAACCCACTCCTTCCCTCTGGAGATGTCCCAAGAGCAAAAGGGGTTTGTGCCAGCCGCCATCTATTATACCTGAAGGCTTTAACATGTATACTTGAAATATCTGTTTGAAATTGCTTTCTATGCCTTCTCTGTGGAAAATAAAACTCTCGAAGTGATTTGGGGTATTTTTTTGTTTTCAAAGGAATGAGGGCTCCCCTAGGAGGAGTCAGTGCACAGCTGTTGTGTGCCCCCTTTGGTCAAGTGAGCCATTAAAACATCTGTGACTTATCCAAAGGAGACCCCTGGGCTACAACCAGCTCTGGTGATCACCCACTGTTTCCCTGACATGAAGCTGCCCTCCCTATGGGAACCTTGCTTAGGCCATGCATAGTGTTATGTGCAAATAAGCTTTCCAAAGACAATGTGGTATTCTTGTGCATGGGATCATCACATATCTTAATCCATACCCATTCTTACTCGAAGAACCCCACACCACTACAGAGACAACCTCTGGAATTACTCAGGACTAGGGCCAGTGTGGGAGGAAGGCAGAATATGGTGCATGGAGGAAACGCCATGAAATTAACATGGAGGCCAAGAACATTGTCAATACGTGTTATGCCTTGTGGGTTCCTCAAAATGAGGAACATCATCCAAATGAGCAGCCTCCTTCTCCATCTCAGAATTTACTTCCATTAGCATCTGACAGAATAACTTGTAGTGGGGAGTCTCTAAACAGAGGGGCTATTAGCATTTGGGGTGGTACAATTACAAAACATTAACCCCCTTATTCTCTTGCTTGGTCCATGAATGACAGTTAGTCATTGTGATAGCCAGGAAGCCCCCTCATTTCTATAACCACTTGTTAAACCCAGTGAACCAGTGAGTTAGGGAACTTCTAAGCACCCTTAGTCAAATGCAAATAGTGCCTGGGTATTCAGACGTTTTCTTGACTATTAACACAAACACTTAACTGAGATGGTTAGCTTTTTTTTGTTTTGTTTTCTTTTTCCCAATGGTAAACAGGGCCATTTTCAATAATGAAGTATTGACAGGGCTGGTTTTAGTAGAAAAGTTTGATGTTGAAATTCACTGGGCAGGTTTCAGTGAGAACGAGGAGCAAGAGAGATGCAAGATGAAAGGCCTGGGTGTTCAGGATATGGACGGTCCCAGGATAATGGAGAATCTTCCAGGGGCCATCTGGGGGAGGGAGAAGACTTCGATGGAAAGGTGGAGGTAGGGGTAGTCCACGTAGGACACATCGTAAGGCAATTTTCCTTAATTAGAAGAGAAGAATTCCTTAATTCTTGCAGCTGATTTGATCAGATACTTATAAAATTGCTCTTTCCTCCACCCAACCAACTTCCTATCAAAGACAACAGTACTGTAGAAGATGACATGATGCCCACACTAACCTAGTCAAGACCTCAGTGAGGACAAGTCAGCACAGTCAAGCCAGCGTGCTGTTGATTGAATATCTGATTTTGCAACGTTCTCAGAGAAACAGAAAAGTGAGTACACAAATATTTATTGCACACCTTCCCCATGTTGGGGCCACGCTGGACACTCGGGCTAGAAAAACCAGCCATCGTTTACTGGAATTCACCTCATGATGCATGTCAGAGGAGAATTTTACTCCCGTGGGTTTTACATGGCTGAGTTTTTGGAAAGCAGATGGCGAGGCCTCTTTTCGAAGGTTCCTCAGAAAGAACTTTGACCTTTTAGTCAGCATTCAGTATGTTCACCATACCACTTTGAACTTCACCCAGGCAGCGCAAACGAATGACTCAAAGCTATTTTTCTCACATCTGGTGTTCTCCTTTAAGGAACATTGCAATACAATGTGATCACGTGATAGGATGGCATGTACATTTGAGAGGAAAGGATAGGCTTGAGGAAAGAGTTTGAATTGAGATACATTTGGCAATTATGCAGAGCTGGACAACCAATGCCAAGAGAATGCCATGAGTCAAAGGCACGGTGCATGAAAAAAGTGCAGGTGTGTGTGTGTGTGTGTGTGTGTGTGTGTGAAGTGAGGTTGGGGATGGGGAGAGCAAGTGGTTAGAAACCACAGCTCTGCTTGTCCCGTTGGCGTTGCTGTGGCTTATAGAGGTGTCTGTCTTCATCATTTCCCTCAGGTTGGCCTGGCCTACCTTTCTTGGCGTCTGCTGGTAGTCTGCTTTTCTAGGAAATCTTCTGTGGCTGCGTGTGTGACAGATTTCTTTCCTTTCTCTTTCTGAAGCCTAATAACGGACTTTTCCCCCTTAGCTGACTCTGGACCCAAGAGTGACCTGGGTCAGAGCAGAGACCCACTTTGCATCAAGCCAAGGTCATTTTCATTATGGATGTAGCCCTGGTGAATGATGCCATTAAGAATGTAGGTAAGAGGTTCAGATCATTCCACGATGGTCTCCTCATGATTTGCCCTACCCACATTGGATCTTGAAAACAATGGTTTCTGGAAGTCTCAGAAAAGATGAGTCCCTCCACCAGGCAGCCGCTCCACCAGGCAGCTGCTCCACCAGGCAGTCACTCCACCAGGCAGCCGCTCCACCAGGCAGCCAACTCAGTGTGTTGTGTTCCATGTGAGTCTGTACCAAACCCAAACGACACTCAGCCTGGAATAAGAATCCAGGAAGAAGCATTTGTTGTTGAGAAGCCCTGCGTTCTGGAGAGAGCAGAGTGTAATAAATGGAGATGAATAATTGGCGATTCCACTCAGCCCCATCACCACTTGGCGTCCTCTGTGTCCTTGGGAAA